TATAATAAAAAAATATTAAAAATTACTCATTCTAAAAAATAAACAGGTTTTGTAGATGGGGTATAGTTTTCTCTATCACTATAATAAAAAAAAATATTAAAACCTACTCTCTTAAAAAGTTAATTCTCCAAAAAAAACACCACCTTTTATGGGACGAATGTAGTAATAAGACTAGCCCATACATTGATGGACTCGTGACTCAAACCTGACGCAAAAAAAGTCCAACCATGCAACCATATTTTGCTTCGAATTGGGCCCAAATTGGGCTTGATTATGAAGGTTGACCGACCAGCCCAATTAAGGACCAAATTTAAGACTCCAACCAATTCTATTAAGTTTTAAAAATAGATATAAATAGACCTTATTATAATTATATTAATATATCAAAGAAAGGTTTCCAAAAGAAAATAAAAGAAGTAATGATTGAGAAGAGAAAGAAAACAAGTTTTCATTACTTGTTGATCCGCAAAATTCGTTCAGCAAACAAACATACCCCATCCATAAGACGTTTTTGTATTTTTGTACAAGCCCTTTACTTGCTCCACAAGTCCAATTTTGTGCTCCCCACGTTAACTGGCCTCCAAAACTAGTTGGTGATAGCTTATGCCACAATATTCAATGGGTGGATCCCACATTCACAACGAGCTTTTATTATTTGTTTTTTTGTTTTTGATTTTGGATTCGTAATAATAAAGTAAACAAAATTCATTATAACGATTTTGAAATATATATATATATTTTTTCCCCTTTTTCGGTGAAACATATTTAGGCCATTATATACTTATAAAGTAAATATGTTCACAGTGATGCACGTGATTAAAGACACAATAAAGTTAGTATATTTAAATGATTTGCAGGGTATGTTTCAGTGTTTTTTTTTGCTTGGGCTTTGGTGCAAACAATTAATTTTGCTAATTCGTTTGGATAGAGTGAACTTTTGCAAATTTATCACGTGATATAAAGTAATATAATTATTATTATTTCTTTTCTTTTATTTATTTTTTCTAAACAAAAATATTATCATTTTCTTTCTTTTTTTTTTCATGATTAATACACATAAATAAAGGTTAATGATATCATTTTTTTTTATTTTATTTTTCATGTGAGTGGAGATGACGTGTATTGGACTTTCAACCCGCGAAATTTAAAAGTTACTTTGCATGACAGTAGTTTTAATTTGGATTTTAGTATTAAGCCCCACATATGATTTAAAGTCATAATGTTGGATATAAGTCATTATATTGAACATAAATCTTTAGAAAATCTTGAGATGGACATGATAGGGAAACTTATAATTTCGAATAGGCAATGAATCTGATGTGGTTTTGCCACTTAATATTTTTTTAAATAATCTGATGTGGTTTTGCCACTTAATATTTTTTTAAATATTCTACTTGTATAAAATATCCTTTTTCACGTGATAAAATTCAAGGGCAAAAAATGTTGGTTGAATATTGTGAAACGAGAAGATTGGGTTTCCTGTTCTTGCCATCACCATCACTTTAGGTTTACAGATGCATATACATATTTTTAAACATGGACGTTCTCTATCTCCATGACTTTACTAGAGCTAATTTCAAAACCCTACTTTGATTTATTTTTACTCAGTTTAAGTTAAAGATCTATTACTTGGATTTGAACATTATACAGAGCTTAATTTTGAATTAGTAGGCTACAATTTTACTCTAAAACTTTATCCTAAATAATATTTTCAGAGAGAAAAAGAGAGGTTGAGTAAATTTTCAGGAAAAGAAAATGAATAAAATTTAAGTCCCTAATCGCAGAGAAAAACTAAAGAGAATTTGAAAAAGATAAGTAAATTTTTCGAGAGGGAAAGTGAATTTTAGACCCAATTTTAGATAGAAAAAATAAAGAAATTTAAGAAAGAAAAGGAAGAGAGAGAGAAAGTGAAGGGTCTTGGATTAAAGATAAGGTTGAATATTCAAAATATATATATCTTTATATTTATTGAACAAATTTTTTTTTTTTGAAAATTGTTTAAATAGGTCAAATTTTATTCGGTTTCTATCACTACTCATGATACATATAACATTGGATATATAAATCGGGAGTAGGAACCAGTTTGAGCGTTTGAGGGTGCTTTAAAACTAAAAAAGTATAGCCATGAGCTATATGGTTGCTTGCAATTGTGATGGTTGATTAGGCCGGTTTGGTATGCATTTGATAAAAAATATTTTATTTTGTATAATGTGAAATATTATTTTATTTTGTACAATATTGAAATGTTTTTATAAATAGTGTCAAAAATTAAAACACTAATTTGATATTTTTATATATTTTTGCACTGTAGCATTTTATACTGTAGCAATGAATAGTAATTTTTAAAGTTTAAAATACTCTTAAATAACATTTTTAAAATAACCATTATATATTTTAAACCTCCAACATTTTTTTATTAAATATATTTTTATATTTTTGTTTCCAAAAATCTTGTAACAAATGAATGTTACCAAACATGCTTTCAATTATTATTCAAAACACTTTACAACAATACTTATTTTGTTTCGAATTAAAACAAAATATCAAAAACAAAACGCATATCAATTAGACCTTAGTTATTGGTAAATTCACAATCAATTAAATTTTAAAAAAATATTAAATTGAAACATGTTGAAATTTCTGCAAAGTTCAAAAAGTAATTAATTATTATTATAGACTTTTGGGTTGACATCAGCTACCCACACACACATATAAATATATTAAAAAATCCTCTTTAATTAGTCATATGCACAACTCTTCATCATTTAGACCTTAATGTATAAGATTTTCGTAAACTTGAACTCACTAGTATTTTCACAAATCTCAGAAGAGGGTAATGTATTTTACTCATTCAATATTTTCCGTAGTTGACTATATTTTTATTTTTAGTTGTCTCACAATAATTGTAATATCTTTTTAAAAAATATATTATATTTTATTATATTACCAATTTAATCTCTTTAGGATAAATATCATTATGAACTCTTACCAATTCAATTGAGAAACAAAGGATAAATTTAAAATTTTATTTATTACAATGTAACAAAAAATATTAAAATTTAATCTCTTAAAAAGTTTTATTCTCAAACACTAAATATCTAAAATGAGACAGAGAGATATTTATTCCGAGATTCAAATAACTCACAAACAAATGTGTGATGTGGGGATAACCTACACGAAATTGTGTGATGGGAATCCCACGTGCCCTCTGAATAAATATATATTTTTCAAATTACCCAATTAAAAAAACCAATAGTATTTGAACTCACCTGCCTAAAGGGAAACAAAAGAACTCGCACGAAAGTTACCTAACACTAACAAAAAATTGAACAATAAAATGCATTAATTGTTGTTAACCAAACTAAGTAACTAACAATAATAAAACCAGGAGATAGAAAAAGCATGAAACAAAGATCAAAAATAGACTTCCCATAAATCATTAAGCAATTAAAGAGTGATTGTTGTGACGATACAATTGAAAAAGAGGTGGTGTGGTAAACCAAGACTCAACTTCTCACCTGCAAAATACAATAAAAAAACACAAGAAATAATTCATTAATCAATCAACCTATTTTGTGTTGAGAGACTATTCCAAACTTCAATTATTAAAACAAAAGATTGTCTAAAAATCTACATATGTATATTATATATATTAGTTATACCCTATATATTAACAACTCTTTGCTTCTCTTAAGTTTACTAGCTTATAATCAGACATTTTAGCTTATACAATTTTAATCCGAATTCGAATTCGAATCCGATTTGATCCGAAACCGAGTCAATTAGGATATGAACTGCGACATTCAATTCGATAACCTATTATAGATCCAAATTCAATAATCCCTTAGCTAAACAAATGAATATAAATTATTATCAATTCGATCTGAATTTTATCCATTGTCAGGTCTACTTATGTTATATTAAGAGACTATTCCAAATTTCAATTCTTAAAACAAAAGATTGTCTAAAAAAAGCTTTGATGAACCGGACAAGTGGGCTCATTTCATGGGGAAATTCATCTGATTTTGAATACTACTTTTTATTGTTTCTTCCATCTCTTTTGAAAAGGAAATAATCTCTTAAGAAACAAAGTAATTACATCTTAAAAATGAAGTTTATAAGTAATTTTTGAAATTATCGGAAAGCATGTAAGAACTTTCAAATATTTAAATGTACAATAAAAAAAACAAAAAAGAGATAGAGTTTTTACACAAACTTAAAGTTGCTCTATTAGGTTACACGATAAAAAAAACTAACTTTTTCATTACATCTGACCTTTTTAATGCTGTTCAATTGCAATGTGTCTTGTGCATAAACCTTAATCTTCTTTGGTGGAATAGAAGGTCATGATCCGGGATGTGCCTTATAAAAAAATTAAAATGTTTATCAAATATTTCTAACCTTTCGTAAAGTGCATTACAAATTGAACGAAACTTAACCTACCATTGACATTAGAGAATTTTGTTCTCTTGTGGACTAAATTTATCCTTTGTAAGGTGAATATAGTTTGAAACCAAAAGGTACTCCACAGTAATATAAAATTTTCAACCGATTCAAATGGGAAATGGATGTGAATAACAGCCGTTTTACAGACGTGTAAATGTGACCTTCATAGAAAATGCTCATAGTTCAAAACCCGATCTTAGGAAATTACTTCTTTACTTCACTATATACCTATATATATATATATATATATATATATATATATATATATATATAATTAGACAGCAGCAAGACTTGATCATTGACTCACTGCACGTGATTTATAGATGAAGTAGTACACATGAGTCTTCTAAGCTTCTTCCAAGAAGTTACTATAAAGTTGGTGGCGTCGGATTTCGAATTATTGAAGTTGAAAAAGTGGCTTTACCGGCAAATGACAATACGTTACTCTGCTTTGAAGAGAAAAGACTACGTCGTGTTTATGTGAACCCAACCATCTAAAGTCGTTTTCGTCCACTGAGAAATATTGACCAAGACTGGCTGGCCTTGGCTTCACACACTCTTTCACTATAAAACTGATCTCTACGTTTTTCAAGTTCCTTACAACTACTCTCTCTACCTTTAATATTCTTCTTCTTTGATCTGCAATTTCTTGTTCACATCACTGCAATTAAGAGAACATGCAGGTTAGAAATCTCACTTAATTTCTTCAATTTTAGTTTAATCTCTACTTGTTTACTTTTTTTTCAGTCTCTCTCTCTACTTCTTGAGTACATAAAAGGTTCAAACCTTTATGTGGAATTTGCTCCCTTTTGTTGATTAATCAACATGTATGATTCTGTTGAGATTCTCCGCTTTCTTTTAAAGAATCGACGTCTTAGAATTGAAATAGTAGAAAATTTAGTTCTAATCGACGTGTTAGAATTGAAATAGTAGAAAATTTAGTTCTAATTTAAAGTAAATTTTCTTCTATTTCAATTTTGAAGGTATATTCAGTGCTTCCAAACATAACTTTAAGTATAATTGAGCTTTTTAATCATGTTAATTTGTTGGGGTTTGTGTCTGCTCATCTCTTTTATATATATTATGGTTGTGAACTCGTATAATTATAGATATATACATCAATACACGAGTCCTTGATACGGGTATTGGGCAATTTGTTTTAACTAGTCTCTTCTCACAATTCAACTGATTGATTGATTGGAGCTTAGCTTGATTAAATCTAATTCAAACTCTCTTTGGTGTTACTATGACAGAAAATGGTGTTGAAATTGAAGCTAGATGATGACAAAGCCAAGCAAGAGGCCATGAAGCAAGAGGCCATGAAGAGAGTCTCTGGTCTCACAGGTAACTACCACCAATATTTCAATTTCAGACCCAATAAATAAAAATTCAAGAAATACCATCTCAAAACATGAAAATTTTCATTTTCAGACCCAAAAAATAAAAATTCAAGAAATACCCAGATCTCAAAACATGAAAATTTTCAATTTCAGAGCCAAAAAAAAAAAATTTCAAGAAAAACCCAGATCTTGAAACATGAAAAATTACTCAAAATTGGATCTGAAATTTTGGTATTAGGTTGTGCAGGGGTTGATTCAATAGTTATGGAAATAACGGACAAGAAGGTGACAGTGACAGTGATAGGGAACATAGAACCAAGGACCATATTTAGGAAGCTGAGTGATATCTGTCCCACAATGACATTCACAGTTGAACCAGCAAAAGAGCCTGAGAAGAAGAAAGAAGATGCCAGGAAAGAAGATAAGAAGAAAGAAGATGCCAGGAAAGATGATAAGAAGAAAATGGTGTTGAAATTGAAGCTAGATGATGACAAAGCCAAGCAAGAGGCCATGAAGCAAGAGGCCATGAAGAGAGTCTCTGGTCTCACAGGTAACTACCACCAATATTTCAATTTCAGACCCAATAAATAAAAATTCAAGAAATACCATCTCAAAACATGAAAATTTTCATTTTCAGACCCAAAAAATAAAAATTCAAGAAATACCCAGATCTCAAAACATGAAAATTTTCAATTTCAGAGCCAAAAAAAAAAAATTTCAAGAAAAACCCAGATCTTGAAACATGAAAAATTACTCAAAATTGGATCTGAAATTTTGGTATTAGGTTGTGCAGGGGTTGATTCAATAGTTATGGAAATAACGGACAAGAAGGTGACAGTGACAGTGATAGGGAACATAGAACCAAGGACCATATTTGGGAAGCTGAGTGATATCTGTCCCACAATGACATTCACAGTTGAACCAGCAAAAGAGCCTGAGAAGAAGAAAGAAGATGCCAGGAAAGATGATAAGAAGAAAGAAGATAAGAAGAAAGAAGATGCCAGGAAAGAAGATAAGAAGAAAGAAGATGCCAGGAAAGATGATAAGAAGAAAGAAGATAAGAAGAAAGAAGATGCCAGGAAAGAAGATGCCAGGAAAGATGATAAGAAGAAAGAAGATAAGAAGAAAGAAGATGCCAGGAAAGATGATAAGAAGAAAGAAGATAAGAAGAAAGAAGATGCCAGGAAAGAAGATAAGAAGAAATAAGAAGAAAGAAGATAAGAAGAAAGAAGATGCCAGGAAAGAAGATAAGAAGAAAGAAGATAAGAAGAAAGAAGATGCCAAGAAAGATGATAAGAAGAAAGAAGATAAGAAGAAAGAAGATGCCAAGAAAGAAGATAAGAAGAAAGAGGATGCCAAAAAAGATGATAAGAAGAAAGAAAATAAGAAGAAAGAAGTGTTGCAAAAATATAAGCTTAATGTGACTTTTAAGATATAACAACCCTTGTACTAATATGTCATAAAATAATTAACAATATGTTAATAAATCATTAATTAAATATGTAACTCTATATTTAATTAAATATGCAAAATAAAGCAATAAAATAATAATAATATGCAAGGAATGGACCTGGATCGAGACTAGTATTGGATACTATGTCCTTAAGACAGATTTGCCCCGCTATGGTGCTAACGGACTCAGTGGCGTCTATCTCCCAGGATACAACGGTCTACATCCACCAGTAGCAGCACTACAAATTCGTGGATACGGCGAACCTTCTCCGTGTAATACTCTCTCTGACTCAAAAATGCATCTATGCTATATAAATGCTGAATTGTATGCAATTCGAATCAAATGGTTCGGACCAATCTTAATATGGCTCGATGAAATTGGATTAGGGTCTAAGTGGTTCGGACCACTTAACCTATGGTTTGAACCCACTTGGGTTGGTTTCAAGTCTAGAGAGTGAGATAGAAGAAAATGAAAATGAACGAATTGTAAATGATCCAAATGGGGCTATTTATAGAAACAGATATGCCTTTTCGGATTGGGTGTATCTCTTCATTATTGGACACAACCATTGCAATAGGTTGCAATGGTTCACATGGTGTCTGTTCACCACTAGACACATCTATTCCAATAGGTTGCAATGGTGTCTGTTCACCAATAGACACATCCATTCCAATAGGTTGCAATATGCCTTTTCGAGTGGGTGCAACCATGGGTCATGATGGTTTGGAAAAAGGTGTAACCCTTTGAAAAAACTAAAAAGTGATTTTTTAATTTAAAAGGTGTAACCCTTTAGAAAAACTAAAATATGGTTTTTTAATTTAAAAGGTGTAACCTTTTAGAAAAACTAAAAAGTAGTTTTTTTAATTCAAAAAACCAACTACCAAAAAAAAAAAACCCACTCATTTGTAAAACCCATTTAAATAAGCCCAACCCAAAATTAGGCCCAATCCAAAATTCCAAAAAGGAATAATTTGGACTTTACAATTAGGCCCAAGCCCAAGCCCAACCCCAAATCCTAAACTCAGCTTATTTAAATTTCAATTTGTTTCAACATTTTTTCCATGTGGGATAAACACTTCCCACATTTTGCATACCCATTTAGGCTTATCAAAATACCACACTTTGGAGCTAATTTCTCATTCATCCAGAAACGGATTTCAGAAAGTAAATATACCACGTTCATCTCCTTGTGGAGAGAAACGTGCTTGTCTAGAGATCCGTAAAAAATTAGTAGCGGAATCTATTTCAAATCTCATCCAAAGTTTATGTTTTTAATGCCCCCGTTTCCAACAATCCCCCACATGAATGGAAATTTGCGTAAAATGCAAAAGATGATCATGCAGACACTAGAGAGAGTATAATCGGAAAGATACTCCATCAGGATAGGTAGCTTTTGGCTTTGAACCTTCCCTAGTGTATTGCTATCGGATTTACTGGCTAACCAGTGAACACGACGTCTTGAACTGTTCAGCCGTTTGTGTAAACCAAGACAATAACAAACACACAGTAGCTTTCCTCACAAAGTTGGTTCTCATTGTTGTGTTCATTTTGGCCCTGAACAAGTCCTGGTATTCAATGAGTGCTCCAGAAAACTTAGCCTTTATAGTTCTCATAGAAGCAGCCCCACTTCACACTCATATAGGTGACTTCTTATTAAGAGTATCCTACTATACCCCACTTGAAATTTCAAGGTATAAGAGTCATTAAAAGCATAGCTTATCCTAATCATCGCTGTAGGTGGCACTGTCTCATCATAGAAATGGGTAGAAGATTTATATCTTCCCAGTGCTTCTGGTGAGTCACTCAGAATTTCTGTTGTCCCTTTGAACCTAGATCTTGGGATCTCCAGTCAACTAGGTTGGGTTTCCATTAAGGTGACTCGTTAGCTTTCGGCTTTAAACCCCATTCCCCTCGATAAACTGTACAATTGCTCTCTAATACAACCTTCAATTTTATATGTGGCCACAAGGTTGTGTTTAGAAATATTACACTCTGCAGAGATTTCTCCAGGTGAGAGCAACTGTATACTTTGTGTCCTAAAATTGCTTATTGTTAGCAATATCATTTTCTTTGGTGGCACAGGTGTAGACTTACTTTGAATTGTCCTCTAGGTGAAGTCTATTGACTTCCCTATTTGATTTATTCAAAGTTTCTAATTTTGAGTTATATTAAGAACATAGAACTACACCTTTAATATAAAAGACATATCCACTATTGGATTTGAAGTCTTTAATATCCCATATCCAGATTGCATCACTGTTACACCTCCAATTTAGTTAGATACCTCAATCTATGCAATATTGGATTTAGGGTGTATCTTAACTACCCAATTTATTGTTTTTCAGTGATCCGATCCTGGATTGAAAATGTGCAATTAAACACAGTTATTAAGTTGCCTTGCAATCTCAATCAATGATATACTTTGGCTAGTATTTATATTTGAGATTTACATCTACAAAAGTTAGTTAGGCTTTTGTTATCATAACTAGTATTATCTCAATCTCACTCTATTGAGAATATACTATATTATCAGATGTTAAATCTTTCATATCAAATATACTAATCAGTATATCATTTATATTTTAAGGCATACAATGACTTATGCATCACATTTATGTCATTGTCTCGGTAGTAGCTTTAATCCATTCAAGGACTTATAAGCTTGCACACTTGACTTTTCAACTGGAACAAATAACTCAGCACTTCAACAGAAAAAAGAACTGTTCTAGTTGTTCCATAATATTTTCCTCGTAGGAAATAATATGCACTATTGTTATAATAATATAAATAATTTTTGGTTCTATCCTAAAGCTTTTAGGACTTGGAACCCCCCACATTTATAAGTATTTCTGTTAAGATGAGTGACTCGTAACAAATTTCATCTATGGATAATATCTCCCCACAACTTTGGGATAATCCTGAAATTTTATCTCTAATGTATTTATTATGATTTTTCAACTATGAAAGTACCATATATTAAATACTTCACCTCATCTACCTTTTCAAGGTTCCATATTCGCTTCTCAACAAACATATATAACAGTCTCTAGTGCATATGTACTCACTTTATCTTTAGCATATTCTTATAATAATTCACCAACATTACCGTGAATTAATGCTAAAGATATTAATTACAATGGGCTCTAATTAATATTTGATTTTACTTCTTTTATATTTATAAATTGAGTTATTCATGTTTAGGTTCATGTTAAGTCAGTCATATTAACATGTTATAACATTTCATGTGTCACACATCACATAACTCAATCATTTAAGCAAATAATTATCTTATTATTTAAGCTTTGGATACAATCACTACAGAGTGAGCACTCACTTCTCAGCTATCATTACTAGTCAAAAGTGAGTTCTTAACTATCATTACTAGCTTAGATTAAGTACACTCTTCTCATATCTCACTACTAGTTATGATGAGCACCCACTTTTTAGCTATTACCGCTAGCTTGAAGTTAAGTTTGTTTAGCTATCAATTCTAATAGTTCATAGTTTTAGTACACACTTATCTAAGTAGTCTACCTTGGTAGTAGAGTAATTTGTTTTGAAGAATATTCTTTAAAAACTACTACTTTACAAGTAGTATTATTCCCTCCCACATGAGCAGATATGATGAATAGCTCAAATAGCTTATGGCTAAAATAGCTACTCATCACCCTCGTGTTTTTTTTTTTTTTACTACCAAGTTGAGAGCTAGAACCAACTAACAGATTTTCCATCTTCCTCTTAGGTTCTGTGCACCTCATTAATCATTTTAGCTTATAGCTAAGCTACCTTGTTTGCAACTCAGTAACATTTTAGCTTTTAGCTACATTGTACATTAGAGCTAACTAATTTGATTTAGCTTGTCTCAGTGTACTAGCTTAGTGTATCCATAACATTTTCCATTAAACTCTTTAGAGTTATCGGAAAATCTTTTCTTATTTAGCCCATTCACAGCTATACGTGTCTTAGACACTAGTATAGATCTTTCTCCCTTGACTATTGGAAGAATTGACATACTTAGAGTAATCAATTTTTGTCTGTTGTATTAAATACACAAACCAGTCATGAACTCATACAAAATTAATAATATCACACATTAAATAAATTATGCAATACTGTTATGAGTATAACCTATCAAAGGTTTTATGTGTAGGGACTGTGCACTTGTAGCTCGCCTAGTGTGGTAACCTGTTAGTGCCTCTTGCACTCGTCCACGACACACTCACTTACAAGGTTGTCACGTTTTAGGTCCACTCTAACCTTTCATAGGAGTAGGATCTGCAACCTTAAATAGACACCCTCACACTTTTAAGAATTTATAGAAAGGTTTTCAACCTTTCCATAATTCATATGATGTCACATTTCTAAGGTTTCATCTTTGCTTCGTGGCAAATACACATAACGGTATCTTGTAAGATCTGCAACCTTAAATAGACACCCTCACACTTTTAAGAATTTATAGAAAGGTTTTCAACCTTTCCATAATTCATATGATGTCACATTTCTAAGGTTTCATCTTTGCTTCGTGGCAAATACACATAACGGTATCTTGTGCAACCAATGATAAAAGTAACGAAGTACTTTTTTCCACCTCTAGTTGGTACATGTTTAAGGTAATGTCATATACTTCATAATATCATATTACAAAATTAAATAATTTAACCACTATTGAATAATTCAATAATCTACTTATATAACATGCTTCAATTTCACATAATATTGAATGCATAAATATTTAACATATTATCATATAATAATGTATATAACATTATTTTATCATATCTCAACTATTAGTATAATATCTACTTGTTTATATCTTAAATAGAAACATATAATAAAATCTACGCAAGAAAAGAATTTGTCTTAAGATTGTTGGAAAAATATATGCTTAATGTGACTTTTAAGATATAACAACCCTTGTACTAATATGTTAATAAATCATTAATTAAATATGCAACTCTATATTTAATTAAATATGCAAAATAAAGTAATAAAATAATAATAATATGCAAGGAATGGACCTGGACCGAGGCTAGTATTGGATACTAT